GGGGGGGGGGGGGGGGGCATGAACCAACTGGTTCATGGCTGAACAGTATAAACAGATTAATGTCCATAAATTGATTATAAATCAATTGAACTGATTGGTAACAATAATCATGAACTGATTAGTGACAATATAACCAAAATCACAGACACGACTTGTGACTGATAACAACATCTCACACTGTAATGCATGCAGACAGAAGTGAGCTTAAACAGAGTTCCATGAGAACAACAATATTCATTCTGTTAGAGCACTAAGGACAGAATGTGTCATGGAACGAGCCGTTACATCACGTAGGTAAAAGCGAATAAATGAGCAGGGTGTTGACCATGCAACCGCAGTGCAAATGTCCTGCATTGACAAACCATTATGCAGAGCAGTCGAAGATGCGATACCCCTGGTCGAGTGTGCTTAGAGGTTGACAGGAGGCTCTAAATCTGATGCTCTGTAGGCTTCAGAAAAGGCCTCACACAGCCAGTGTGATAAGCGCTGGATGGATAACGGCGACCTGTAGAAACATCTCTATAATGCACAAACCATTGTTGAGTTTGAAACGCATTGCAGCTGTGTGCGTTATGTAACACGTCAAACGCCCGCACCGGGCAGAGAAGATGAAAAGATGCTTCCTCTTCTGATCTGTGGGGGGGAAAAAACCCCTCCAACGATATCACTCTTGATTTAAAAGAGCTCGTGATGTTTTAGGCATAAAAGCTGGGTTGGTCTTAAATCAGCTGAGCTGCCCGTCAGCCTAATTCTAAGGCATGACGAAGCAACAGAGAGGGCAGATAATTACTTACCCTCTTAGCGGGTGTTAAAACCAGCAACAGGGCTGTTAAAAGAGACAAGAATTTAAATGAAACCTGATCCAGAGGCTCAATTGAAGCTTTGATCAGGGCTCGCAGGACCAGCGTTAAACCCACTGTGGAAAACAAGTGGGCGTGAAAACAGGCCTACATCTCTGTACACCTTTTAGAAACCGCTTCATCAGCGGGTGATAAAAGCTGTTCTGACTCCAAACCCTTTGTGGCAGGAAGAGATGGCTGCAATCGTACGTTAAAGCGTACTGAAAGCCAACTCCCTATCCATCAGCTGTTGTAGAAAAACAACACGCCGCTTAAAAGGCATGAGGTGGTCTCTAAACCTTCTCTGTGCACCAGCGCTGAAAAGCCGTCCCCTTGATGTGTACAGAACTGTGGTAGATGCAGCACGTGAATCTTGAATTGTGCACACTATCTCCTGAGGGAGACCCATCCTCTAAGTGGAACCGCTCAGCGGTCAGACCCACCGGTGTTGACCTATTTCTGGGTAACTCTTGGTCGCTCCTCCTGCCTGAAGGAGAGCATCCTTCCTCCATGACAGTTCCACGGCGACCCAACAACAGACGTTGCAGGCCTGGGAACCATAGTGCGTTCACACGCCGGGAGCCACCAAGGAGGGCTGTCAATCCCTCCTCTTGAACTCGGTTCATGGACCGTAAAAAACAGAGGAGGTGGGGGGGAAAGAAACGCGTAAAAAGCGTTTTGGGCCACCGACTGTGAGCAAATGCGTCCCCCCCCCAGCGATGGATCGTCTCGCGGGCTCAGGGAAAACCGTAGTTGACATTGAGCGTTCTTCTCGCATCGCAAACAGGTCCACAGCTGCTTTGCCAACTTCTGCTGCGTCTGAAAAACATCAGATCCGGATGGAGGATCCGGTCCACATAACGTGGGCCGCCCTTGGACGTCACATCAGCCCCTCTGTTCAGAACATCGGATATGTAAACTGCTCTAATAAAAGCAGGTTTGATGAACCCAACTCAGTAGCTTCCGCGCAATGTGTAACATCTGGGCTGAACGCACACCCCCCTGGCGGTTTATGTACGCAGCAGTCACCATGTTGTCTGTGTGAATCAACACGTGTTGATTCTGTAGCACGGGAGCAAAAAGTTGAATCACATTCAGCACTGTGCGACACTCCAAAACATTGATGTGGGCTGATGTGCGGTGGGGCCACAGCGCCCCTACTGCTTGAGATAGGCATGTTCCCCACCCCAACCTGACAGAGACGCGTCCGTGAAGACTGACACGTGACGTGGATCTGCTGACGGGGACTCCCTCTGACAGAGCCAGGGTGTTTCCCCAGTGTCGGAGGTCTGCTCCCATGGAGGGAGGGACAGTGATCATCCGTCTCTTTTGTTTTACTGGATCCACACGCAGACGCGTAAACCACCTCTGGAGGCGCCTCATGTGTAACAAACCCAGCGGGACCACTGTGTGAGCTGATGACGTCATTCCCAACAGCTTCATGACGGAGACAGCTGTTACCACTTTGCCAGGTCTTACGTGGCGTAATTGGTTTTTAGAGTGTCGATTCTTGTTTGTGATAAACGAGCCGTCATGGTAATTGAGTTTAATTCCACTCCCAGATAACAATTATCTGGGCCGGGAAAATCGAGCTTTTCTTCCAGTATGGCGAAAACCAGATTTAGCAGGTGTGATGCTAACACCTGAGCCTGTATCAATGCTTCCTGTCTGGAGTGAGACAGGGGCAGCAGGTCGTCCAGGTAAAAACAAAACCCTCATCCCTGCTTGTGCAGTGGATGCAGGGCTGTCTCCACACACTTGAGAACGTACGAGGCGCGAGGGAGTACCCAAAAAAGGCAACCTGTTGTACTGGTACTTCATCCCTTGAAAGGCGAAACGCAGAAATTTTCTGTGTTTTGGGATGATTGGTGTGTGAAAATAGGCATCTTTTAAAACGATGGAGACAAACCAGTCGTTTTCCTGGATGTTGTCCAACAGCTGTCTGTTCATCAACATGTGAAAAAATCTGTTCATGATCGCTTTGATGAAAGCTGACAGATCCAGAATCGGTCTCATCCCTCCGGTCCTTTCGGGGACCAGGAAGTAGCTTGAGTAAAACCCTGTGTTTTCCTCCTCGTTGGGAACTCTTGAGATTACACCTTTTATCAGAAGCTCTTGGATTTCTGCATTTAAGGCTGAGACTTGGTCTGGTGATGACAGGACCGTCTCTATAACTCCTCCGAACGGAGGGGGTCGGGTTGCAAACTGCAGCGTGTAACCCTTGCATAACACTCTGTCCCTCCATCTGTCCGGTGAGCATGTTTTTAACCACTCTGCGTGACGTTCGTGGAGTGGACGTGCGTTTAAATGATGTGCCGTGTTTTGAACGGATGTCATCCAAACCTCCGCCTCGACCGCCGTCATGCGTCGCGGAAATGTTTTCCGCGTGACCCAAGGCGAGGCTTTCTCGAAAGGGCTGTTCTGCGCGCGCCCGCGCGCTGTGACTGGATCGCGGACCAACCTTCATGTCCGGGCGGGGCGGTGTGTGCTGAGGCGAGGCGTGTGTCAGCTGATGAAGTGAAGGTTGTGAGCCTCGCGGGAGCGCACGTTTCCTCTGGAGGGACGCGCGCCGCTCTCGCTGAGGGCGGGGCCCGTCATTGGATTCATTCAGCTGTCTCACGCTTATGCCGCCGTGAGCTGCTGATCGCTGGGACGCGGTGGATGACGGCCACTCGCGTTCATACAGGAGAGGCGTGTGTTGTTTTCGCTGAGAGCAGGGACCTCCACCGGACCCGGCCTGCGGTCCCACATTTATCCCGATGTGGGCCGGTGAGCGCCGGGCAGCTGTGCGTGCATCATCGACACAGTGCCGTTGGATGGAGGCTGCTTGTCTCGCTCGGGAGCGCGTAAACACCGTTGGGAGGTGATCGTGCGGGCCTGATTGACAACAAGTTATTTCGCTTACCGTGGTGTCACGTGAGCGTCTGGGCATGTGAGGGAGCGGCGGTGGATTTAAAAAACCTTTATTTAAGGACACCGGCTCTTTATGAGTGGAGGGTGTGTAGCGGCTGTGAGCTCATCCGAGCTTACAGACTGGCTAAAAACAGGCGTTTTGATCTTTGAAAAATCATTTATTCAATTCCTGTGTCATTTATACACACATCCTCCGCAGACCGTCATTTCTTAAAACTTCTCCCCCGTGAGCTCTGCGGTTTGTTTGCTCCGAGCGCCGTCTGCAGGCGATCTCTGGGGAAAAACGCTGAAGTGCAGGCTGCCGGACTGAGGAGGGGTGGTCTCTGGCGGGCGGGGCTGGTGGTGGAGCTGGGCGAGACGAAGCTGCTGCTGCCGTGGAGCGTCGATGTCTCTGCCTCTGCTTTTGACGATCTCTCCAGCGGGCTGGAGGACGGAATGAGCCGCGCGGCTAGATGAGATGGCGTACAGCTTCCGACGTCTCCTCCGACTGCTTCGAATTCGTCAGCATGGACGTCAAGCTGCTTCCGAACAGCGCGTCCGATGAGATGGGGCCCTCCATCCGGTCTTTGTGCAGCTTTTCCGGCAGCAATGGAGAGTGACGGAGCCAGATGGAACGTTGGATTACCGTCATCCATGCTACAATCCTCGACAGGCAACCCGAGGGAGCGGCGCACATGTTGAGGATGGCGTCTGCCGATCTACACAGGGAGCTCTTAGTCTCCTCCGGCAGGTCTGAGGTCTCAGCCTTTTCGACATGCTAAATGCTAGCAGCGCATGTTGTTGCTAACTGCGGTTGCCTGAAAACACGTCGGTGGGCTCGATTGGAGAGCTTTGGTCGCCGTCTGGTTCCTCCGGAGGGACGGGACGCTGCTCCGACCTGGACAGCTTCGCTCCGGAAGCTTCCGCGAGGCTTGGCTCCAGGGGAGGGAACCGAGGAATAGCGTCAGTTGCCTTACAGAAGGAGTTCTTTGTCTCCAAGGCAGGTCTGCGGCCTTCAGTCCCTTGGACATGCTATATGCTAGCAGCGCACGTTATTGCTAACTGCGGCTGCCTGGAAAAACACGTCAGTGAAAAATAACCTTTCCGCCGATCATCCGAACTGGCGGGAAAAGGCGAGGGACGTAGAAAAAGGGGGTCCCTTCATGTCAGCCTCCTCCCGGGTTCCGCCGGGCAACCCCTGAGGGCGCTGTCGGCCGGGAGCGGTGTGATCGCCGATGCGAAAACGAGGTGGGATGGGGTGAGCATTCACTCAGCCCCCCTCCACCTACACTACGCTCCCCGGGAGGGAATGAGCAGCGGGGGCTGCAGCTGAGCACACCTTGCCCCGGAGGAACCATCCGGTTCGCCCCGAGGGTCGGCGATAAGAGGAAAAAACACAAGATGGCGTTGTCCAGCGTGTAGTGACCTGTCACTGGGAAATGTTCCACGACGCTTACCTTGGAATAAGACTGCTGTCATCTTCTCCTCGGGGAGGAGAACTCACCGGACGACCGGAGGTCGACTGCCGGGCCCAGCATCCTTCACAAGGTTGGTCATTTACACAACTTATCTTCTTTGTTCTTCTGACAGTGCTATATTAGCTCGCTGAAGAAAAAATGGGAGCCGATTTCCCGCTCTTAACGTAATTTATACGGACCGGGTAGGGCCCACACAGCAGGTGGGCGTGGACTAATTTTTTTCAGTGCTTATGCTCTGCATAACGGGATAAACCCACTAAAGCGAAGGCCTTAAAGGGCGAAGCTTATATGACATAGAACTACAATCCATTGGTTCTTTGGTCCTCATGCTGAAGCTGCTGTAAAAACACAATATGTCTCTAAAAGAACTGAGAATATATTAAAAAAAATACTGCAGTTTGACCAATTTAGAGGTTAACATTTCCAGTAATTATGAAAATTAATGCACAGTTTGGTTAGCAACTGTTAGGTATATGTTTGTAACCCAAAATGATCAGTAATTATCAATTCTGCTGCAGTGTCCCAGATCTGTTGTGAAGCAGATTATTCGTTCATTCATTCAGGCACCAAAGCAGCAGTCTTGGATAAAAAGCCTTTTGTTCCTCTCCATCTTGTGCAACAGTCAGTTTCCCAGGCTTTGCTCCACGCTGTGACCACTATGTTCAAAGTCCTCATTCAGCACTGATTAAGACTGAATCTTAAATCTGTTTAACTTGCAGGCAGAGTTTAAGACCATAGCAGACAATGTGAAGAAGGTGAAAACGCAGCCCACGAACGATGAGCTGCTGACCCTGTACGGTCTTTACAAACAGGCCATCGTTGGAGACGTTAACACTGGTATGACCCAAGAGCAGAATCAATAATAATCATCATTTACTCCTTGATTTCTGAGGATTTCTTCTGTTCACATGTGCAGAGAAACCAGGGATTTTGGATCCAACAGGAAAAGCCAAATGGGAGGCCTGGGAATCCAGAAAAGGTAACAAAATAGAGATTTAAAATTTAACGAGAAGTATTACTTTGCATTAGATATCTCACTCATTGAGTATTATTGAGAAAACCTTTGTTACCAGGCTTTTAATAAAAAATAAAAAATAAATAAATCAACAAACTGAGCTTGCAAATTTTTTCCACTAATGTAGATTTTGCATTGAACCCATTCCTGTAGATTAATGCTGGCAGAATGACTAAAATACAAACAGAATAATGCACAGTGTTTCCAACTAATGTTTTTTTTTCATTTATTCTTTCAGGCATGTCCAAGGACGAAGCCATGTCCACATACATCACACATGCTAAAGAGGTTATCAGCAAATATGGGCTGTAGGGTGTGCAAAAATCTGAAGAGGCAGAAACCACTAAAACAAAGCTGCTGTTCGCCTTGAGTTCTCAGAGGCCATAATATTAAAGTAATTTTACATTTCTTGCTTACTTGGAAAGTTATTTTTATCGACCAGGACAGTAAATAAAACTTCTATGCACCTCTGTGGTTAAGACGATTAACTTTATTGCATTTAATTTACATCACTGATGCCTCTGGGAGCACAGCAAGACAAACAGAAGGCTGTAAAATGTGAACAAACTACTGTACTGTAATTAAATACCTCTTTACATTTCTTGTGATACATGTGCTTTTTAAATGTATTTTATTTCATGGCTTGGCTTTCACTTGAACGGCATTGCTCGTGAACAGAAACGTCCATCTTGCACAGAGTAAACATTTAAAAAGGGGTTTTCTATGTAAAAGAATGGGCTTAGGAGAAGGATCACATTTTTGCACAGAAGAACTTCAATGTTTTTATCTATCTGTTACAACAAAGAAATGTTAAGAAGATATCTATTATTGGCCAGACTGGAGAAGGGGACTGATAAGTGACCAAAACCTCTCAGAGTTGGAGCTTTTCTTAAAGAGGTGGGGGCCTTAAATCCAAACTTGTTGTAGCCTTGCTGCATAATCTCGTTCTTGTGCAGTCCTGTGCTATAATCATGTGATAACAAAGGCGATCGCAACTCAAACTTTAAACCTTATTTCATGAACACACTTACATTAGGTATTCAAAGATCTGACACTCCATGTAAATGCTTTTATTGCCCACAATAAATAAGACATTTTACTAGTGAGTTCTGGTTCTTTGCGTGCTTAAAACTTTTTATTTTTTTTATTATTATTGAGGAACAAAAACTCCTAACATGTAGTTATGTCACACATGTGCTGGGCTTTATTTCCATCAGTCTCATTCAGACCATTAATCTTTATGAACCATAATTACAATTGCATGCAACATTTAATAGTTTTCTGGTCTTAGACAAATTTATAACCTCATTCATAAAGGTTCCTGTAATCTCAGTCTCAATCCTGTTCCAGTTTAAGACAAGTTCAACCTTTTTATTCCTGTCTACAGTGACTGAAACAAGTCTCAAAGTTGCAGTAGCCACTCCACTGAGATTACAATATGTCAGAGACTAAAAGGAGCTGGAGCCTAGTTATTGATCAGTTATCTTCTCTGTATTGACTAGGTGAATTACTGCATATCATCCTAACGTCTGCACTCCCACAGGCTTGGTTTGAACCAAACTTTACTAGGTCGTATTTCAAAGCGTCATAAGAAGAGGGTGCAGAACATGGTAGGAATTAAATGTTATTTAGACCACTGACAAAGAAATGAACAGTCTACACAGTATCAATAATTAGTAAATTATCTTAAAAACAATTACTTGTAAATACAATTATTCAGTATTGTGAATATCATTTTATCCATCACTAAGCACAGAGAATCATGTTTGATACTTTATTATTTACAGTCACTGAAGATGCACATTAAACCTTATGTTTTAATGTTTCTAAACTAAAGTTAACAAACACAAGTTTATACTGGCCATGAGGGGAATCAAATGCAAGTGTGTTTTTGCCTTTATTTTGTCGTTGACAATTTTGCCTGAATAAAAGTTTTATAGTAAAATTGTCATATGTAAAGGTAGACTTGAATTTGCTTTTTTTTTATTTACTCGACACCTTTCACAATAAAAGCTTAATTATTCCACTCGGTGTCCAGCTAACGGTTTGCGCATGCGCAGTGAGGTGTTGGCTCTGAGGCTGAGTAGGGTAAAGGTGAAGACGAGGGGGAGTGGAGGCTGCGGCTGTGGACATCTTTCTCTGTATGGACTCGTTTCGTTTACACACCAGTCGACAAAAGAAACGAATCCGAGGACTTTTATGCAGCAAGCTGAAGTCATCATATCCCAGAGAAGGTGAGTTAGTTGTCCGCTTTCTGATCAAGTTAGCCCAAGCTGACTAGCATTAGCCATTAGCTGCTCCGTGTTGTTGTTCGTGTTGTTAGCCCTCCGGGAACCAGACATCTTTTATTCAGCAGTGATTAAAAATAAATTCAGCTAAGCGCTTATGCAGCTCTGTTTGTGGCAGAAACAGAATAGGAAAAAAAACAAACATAAATATGTCTGACAAAACCACTTCTTTTTTGTTTGCTTTTGTTTTACTTAAAATAAACCAAACTTTCTTATAAACTTTAAATGTTCTTAATAGTTTTCCATGCTTTTGTGAAGGTTTTTTTTTTTTTTTGCACTTTGGCTTTTTGCTTTTGGATACATTTTCTGCCTTTGTCCTTGCAGGCAGCAGGTTGTGCAACGTGTGCTTCAAATAAGAAAGAATGAACAAGTGGAGGAGAAAAGTTTAGAAATGTAGCAGATGAACAGTATCTGAAAGTCTTTTCTTTAATAAATTAGAGCAAATGTGTCATTCACTTCAAACTTTATTTATACAGTTTAGTCTCAATGAGCCTCGAGGACTCATTTACATGAGAGACCTGTTTTTTAACAAAGAATGATGACAAGGGCTTCAAACATCTGCTAAGTTCATGGGGGAAACCAATGCAGACATGTTCTTGTTTTTAGTTTTCTACATCGCCTTACAACCTAGTTGTTTTTTGTTACATTTTTTAATACCATTTTATTTTCACTTGTTATTCTCAATGTGTATGCATCCTTTATGATCGTCTATTGTTGTCTTTGTTGTCCACTGTTGTCATCACTCGGGCTCTTGTAAATGAGTCCCTGAGGCTCAATGGGACTGACCTGTATAAAGGTTGAATGAAAAAGCAACAGTAGACGATAATGACAACACTAGACAATCTTAAAAGAAAGCATATAAATAGAAGAAAATAAATGGAAGAAAATTATGTTTAAAAAACAGCTACATTAAAGCGATATAAAATACTAAAACAGGAACGTCTGTATTGGTTTTTGCCAGGAACTTTTTCCTTTTTTTTTTCATTTACCTGTTATTTATACAGGTTAGTCTCATTGAGCCACGAGAACTCATTTTCAAGAGATAACCTGTTTTTAGGGAGCAGATGGTGGGGGTTAAGGGCCTTGCTCAGGGGCCCAGGGTAGGGTGAATGAGGGTGGAGGGAGGTGTGGGTGCTCCACCTTTTCCACCTACATTTTGATGTTGACTGTACCGGGAGTTGAACCTGCGACTTCCCGATCACAGGCCCATCTTCTAGCCTCTGCGCCACCACTCCCCCAACTTAGCAGATGTTTGAAGCCACTTAGGTCGAGAGCTTCAGATCTTTTTACAAGATATTCCAGGAGCAGATTAGAAAAAGGCCATGTTGCCAAGTTCAGGTCTCACTGAGGGAACACTGCATGTAATAATGTCCTGAGAGTGCACGCTGTACCTAAGGACCTAAAACAGAACCTTGTGGTACACCATTGTTGACTATTAAATAACTGGAAGAAGTACCATTATGTTGAACACGTTGCCTCCGGTCTGAAAGATAGTTAGAGAACCAACCAATGGTGTGTTCTGAGAAACCGATTTCTGAGAGCTTATGACACAAGATGTTATGATCCACAGTGTCAAAAGCTTTAGACAGGTCTAAGAAAAGTGCAGCACAATAATCCTTAGCATCCAGTGCTTCAACAACATCATTAAGAACCTTCAGTGAAGCAGCGGTTGTGCTGTGTTGCTTCCTGAAACCAGATTGATGTGGAGGTAAGATGTTAAATGAGTCCAAATACTTTTTGATTTGAAAGTTTATCAGTTTTTCTAGAACCTTGGCTAAAATGCAGAGTTTAGAGATTGGTCGATAGTTGTTCAGTGAGGTGGGGTCACCTCCCTTCAGCAAAGGAAGAACAAAGGCTGTTTTCCAAGCATATGGACAGGTTAAAGATGTGAGACACCTGTACTGAGATTATGTGAGCAGCCAGCCTTAATAAATAAGGTGGAAGATCATCAGGGCCTGCAGATTTTTTTTTAGAATCTAGACCTTTTAACAGATTATTAACCTTACTAACTGAGAATGGTGAAAATGAAAAGGTGTGGTTTACTGAAGATTGACTAGGACAGATTTGATTTGTAGATATTTGGCTTGAGAAGTAGCTGGTTTTCCATTAGTAGCTGTGGCAAACAAGGAACTCGAAGCAACAAAAATGTCTGTTGAAACAGAGTACAGTCATAGATAGAGAGCACATACAGGACCAGAGAGATGCATCATCATTCAGTTGATCATCAACTGTTCTCTATGTCCAGTTTTCAGCTAAAAGCTCTTTAAAAATCACCTTGCTGGTGCTAAAATTCTTGTTTCTGAGTCAAACTTTGGTAACTTTCCATTCAGGTAAAAATGGGAACAAATAAGGTGACCAGATTTCTGAAGTTAAATCTGGGGACATTTCCAACTTGCAGACAGAAAAAATTAAACGTTATTAAGATGAAATTAAGAGACGGGCACAGTGCCGGTTTAATTTATTTTTACGTATGTTTAAACAATAAAAATCAAATGTAGCAGCAAGATTGTATCTCCACATTATTGTTAACATTTCCTAAAGAGTAATAAAATGAATAAAGTAATAATAGTAGTAATAGAGTACTAAAACTGGGGGGAGGGGGGTGTATACTAATATAAGTGAGTGTTGGTACGTTTGTGCGTGAATGTGAACTTGTACATACAGTGGTACTTGAAAGTTTGTGAAGCCTTTATAATTTTCTATATTTCTGCATAAATATGACTTAAATCATCATCAGATTTTCACACAAGTCCTAAAAGTAGATAAAGAGAACCCAGTTAAACAAACGAGACAAAAATGTTATACTTGTTCATTTATTTATTGAGGAAAATGATCCAATATTACATATTTCCTGAGTCCTGAGTTGTTTAACACATCTACATGTAAATAAGAGGAAATAAAAGCTGACATCCTGCACTCTTGTCTCTTACTCATCTTTTGATCTTAAATCCAAATGTCTTCAGCGTGCAACAAAAACAAAGGAATTTGTCTTGCTGTTCCAATACTTTTGGAGGGGACTGTAAGTAGGATATGACATGCATGGAAGGTCTTACCACTAAATATGAAAGGGAAGTTTCTAGAAATAAGATACGTTATGTGTGAGCCTATGTGGACAGGAATTACAGACTCCATGAAGACTGAGCTGAGGCCTTTGGTTTTGGTTAGGCTGACCCAGAGTGTTCTCCCTGATGATCAAGTGATCAACAAGTGATCAAGTGAGAGGTAAACTATCTGTAGTGATGCACAAAGAATCTATAAAGTGTCTGTGTAAAACCGTATGGGTTTCAGTGTTTACCCTAGAACAGTTCCCTTGGCAGGGCGCTTGGGATGGGGGGTGGTAAAGATTCTTCCACTTCTTTCTTTCCTTCTGAAAAGAAGAAGCGGGTAAAGATAATGGATAGATGGATGGATAATAAAAACCCACAATAAGTGCAGATAAATTATCTTGAAGTTTTAACAATGGTGCAAGCTTTTATCCATTCACGCATATGAGACCAAGCTAGGCCGGCCAGCCACCTCTTTGTGACAACGTTACACTCATTTGTGTTACAGGGTGAAGACATGGCTAATCATTTAGCACAGCCTGCTCCTGAGCGGACCTTTCAGTACCAAAATGTTCTACCTGACCTGCCCGTCCCGACGCTGGAGAGCAGCCTGTCAAAGTACCTGGATGCAGGTAGGATGTTGGCTGTCTCCAGCCTCCCTTGGTTCAGATTTTTCTACTTGACATGTCTGCTTCAAATATTTACTCAAAGAAAATCACTTTGATTATATGATTTGTGCTGTTGCTGTCTGGCTCTTAAGTTGACCTGTTTTGGTTCCTTTAAGTAAAAGACAGAAACTGTGAAAATGTGTTATTATGTACATTTTATCTTTTAGTTCTTTTAGAGCTGGCGTTTGAACCAGAATGTGATCGGTTGTCAGGTTTGCAGTGACCTCAAGAGCCAAATGTAGTTTTTATTAAAATAAAAATACAATTGTACAAAGTAAAAAACAAAAAAGCTTTTGTGACCAACTGAGGTTGAAGGGATGGAAAATTAATGTAAAAGATAAAAACGAAAAAAATCTAATTTCTGTAAATAAAATGATGTTTCCCCTGGCTCTGTGGCTCTTTCTGTGTCAAAGGTACAGACATTTCTGTCCCTAGTTTTTTATTAACCACATGGCAAACTCAGAAGGTCTTTAGTGTCAGTTTGATGTTTGGACTGATAGTTGTGGTCATATTATGTAGTTCCTATTTCAACTCTACAATTTTACAATTTAAAACACCTTTTGATCCTTACTGGCTTTATAAATTTGGTCATTTCAAACTCAGAACAATAATAAATGACAAGTGTGTCATTGTTGATCATAATTAATACAAAATATTGCACAAGTGTTTAAAAAAAACACGGCATACTTGTTCAGTGTTTTTTAAAGGACTCCTTTTTTTTCATCTTTCAGTTCGTCCGTTTGCGTCAGAGAAAGAGTTTAAATCTACGGTGGACATTGTGAGGAAATTCAAAGAAGGTGTTGGCAAAGATCTGCACCAGAAACTGCTGCAGCGAGCCAAATCAAAGAGGAACTGGGTCTGTAGCTGAGCTCTTAGACGCTTGTTTAGTTGACGTCACACAGAAGTGTTCGCTGGATGATTCTTCATTTTCCTTCAGCTGGAGGAATGGTGGTTAGACACGGCGTATCTGGAGGTCCGCATCCCCTCTCAGCTGAATGTAAACTTTGGAGGTCCAGGACCGTACTTGGAGCATTTTTGGCCTCCTGCAGAGGGAACGTGGCTGCAGAGGGCCAGTGTTATCACATGGCACACGCTGCAGTATTGGGACCTGCTCCGCACGTAAGACATGCGATTGTGTTTAACATCAGTTTGCTTCACTGTTTACAGAAATATAATTGTGTTTCTCTGCTTGTTTTCTAGGGAGAGACTGGCTCCTCAAAAGGCTGGGAAAACCCCGTGGGACATGGATCAGTTCAGGATGCTCTTCTGTACCTGCAAAGTGCCGGGAGTGAAGAAGGACACCATCCGTAACTACTTCAAGACAGGTGGAATGAACTCTTATCTTTTCAGACACACCTGGAACCTTTGACCCTCTTCTTCAGCTCGCCTGTCACCATTATGTAACATTTTATGATTTACGTTGTGCTTTGTCACAGAAAGTGAGGGGCCGTGCCCTTCCCACGTGGTGGTGATGTGCCGTGGACGGATATTTACCTTTGATGCACTTTTTGCTGGACGAATCCTCACTCCTCCAGAAATTCTCAGGTACTAAGCATACACAAATATAGACATACAGTAAACTCTAGAATAAAAACCTTGTAATATTGGATCAGTGCAAATGATAGAATAACGTTGTTTAGAGTTTACAACTAGTCTTTTGTTTTTGTAAATAGTGAAAGATGTGATCTACATTGTTTTTTGAAAGATTTTGCATAACAGGCCCAAAGAGGCAATAAGGTTTGTGACAGTTTACAATGCAAACATTTTATAAGATTTTTGCCACAACAAAAATATATGTATTGTATTTTGACTCTATGGTTTGCCTTTTGGCCCCCTGCCGACAGGAGAAAGTGGGGGATTAGAAAATATTTAAAGCAACATCTACAGTGAATTGCATAAAAGTTGATAAATGCAGCTGTGGCGGTTGTTGGTTTTCCTAGAACAATAAAAACTTGGCATAAAAACAATGGATATAATTTTCCATTTAAAAGTCAGACTTTAATCAACAGTTCTTAAAGTTATTTTTCCCCTAAAACGTCAAAGTAAACACAGACAATAAGAGCTCTGGACTACATGGTTTTCTCTGGTGCAGTAACTGAATCCAGCATTATCTGAGTAATACAAATCTCTGTCACTAATGTTTGCTGCATTAACAGAAAGCTTTTTGAATTAACCCACCATGGTGGAAATCACCCAGCCAGTGTGTGTGTTTGTGTGAACCTGCAGGCAGCTGAGCTATGTGAAAGAGCGCTGTGACCGGGAGCCAGAGGGAGACGGACTGTCTGCCCTCACATCAGAGGAGAGGACACGTTGGGCCAAAGTAGGAACGCTCACATTTATCTATCTGACAAAAAAACAAAAGCAGCTTGCAGCTCAGGACTGGTCTCATAGGTCTCATATTACCAAAACGTTCCTGTCGATCAATAACTCTGCTCACTTCCTGGCAGGCAAGAGAGCATCTAATAAGCATCGATCCGCACAATAACACAATCCTGGAGATCATTCAGAGCAGCCTGTTTGTCTTGTCCCTGGATGAGACGAAACCCTACTCTACTCCAGAGAACTACACAAAAGTAAGGCCTGCAAACACCTCAACCACACGCTGACCACAAAACAAAGCTGTGACTCTGATCTGAGACCATTTCCATTATGAATACAGTTAACTGTGGCAGCCCTTACAGGCGACCCCACCATCCGCTGGGGCGATAAATCGTACAACTCAATCGTGTTCGCAGACGGCACATTCGGATCCACTTGTGATGTGAGTTTTTAGGGCAATGTAAAGAGTGTCTAAGATTTAATATGCTTATTCTGAACATATCCTGGTCGGTTCCATTGTGATGGCAGTCAATAAGTGTAAACACATAATTTTCACATAAATGAAACACTTCCTGTCAAAATGTTTTGCAGCATGCGCCATACGATGCGATGGTACTGGTGTCGATGTGCTGGTATCTTGATGAACAAATCAGAGCTGCAGAAGGAAAATGGAAGGTAAACTCGGCCTGTTTATTCTTTAAATAAATAAAAGCAGATAGATCTTCTCACACGTTGGTGTCACTCCTTTTAGGGCTCAGACACGGTCAGGCAGATGCCCCTTCCTGAGGAGCTGCTCTTTACTGTGGATGAAAAAGTCTGCAGTGATATTAATCACGCCAAACAGCAGTATCTGGAGGCTGTAAGCTTTTACAAAGCCTTGTTAATATTTTACGTGTCCACAGTTTCAGCCGTGTGACCGTTACCTGTATCTGTGGTGTTCCAGGTACAGGACCTGCAGATTGTGTGTTACGCCTTCCCAGCGTTTGGGAAAAAAGCCATCAAAGAGAAGAAGCTGCACCCAGACACCTTCGTTCAGCTGGCGATGCAGCTGGCATACTACAAAATGCACAAGAAGTGGGGTTGCTAACAGCTACTATTTAATGCTGTTTGAGGCTAGTTTACTCTATACTGTATGTCGTCTTGTGCTTTCCTCAGACCAGGAAGTTGCTACGAGACGGCGGCGACGCGCAAGTTTTTCCACGGCAGGACGGAAACGATGCGACCCTGCACCCAGGAGGCTGTGAACTGGTGCAAAGCCATGATGGACCTGACTTGTGATGTAAGTTTGTCCTAAAAGAAATGGGCTGAGGTGACATCAACTTCCACATGTTAAATGAACTTTTGTTCTCAGGTGAATGCCAGGAGGAAAGCCATGCTCTCAGCCTTCGAGAAACACAACAAACTGATGTCCGAGGCTCAGGATGGAAACGGTCAGTCCGTTTAACATTTATAGATTGTCGGATATTTCTTCACATTATTGTTAAGACCATTTATTTCACGCTACCTCTCATATTATTCATAGATGTTACCACTAGTGTAAGCATCAAATATCAACAACTGGAAGGTGTATTTTAGTTTGTATCATGAAGTCACCCAAACATCATCCACATGTTTTTAAACAAATGCTGCAGCCATTCTTACATTGTGAAAAATCAAATCATGATCTTCTGGGCTGTGATTTTGCAAAAGAAATGTCTTATTTAGTTTATTTGTATTTTACTTCCATAAGCGCTATTGTCAAAGTCCATGTTTGTGAAGCCGCAGCTTGGTCACAGTGATGTTTATTAGCTCATTCTGTTTTGTGTCCGTCTCCAGGTTTTGACAGACATCTTCTTGGGATGTATCTCATCGCTAAAGAGGAGGGACGTCCCAACCCTGAGCTCTTCACTGACCCCCTCTACTCTAGAAGGTCCTCCCTCTGTCAATCATTTAGCTCTGAAGAACAACGTGGCTTCACTTAAGAAAGAACTCCTGTTCGTTCAGTCTGTTGCTTTTCGACTAAAACGTTTGACTTGTTTTTGTGTTTGTGTTCAGCGGGGGTGGAGGTAACTTCGTGCTGTCGTCCAGTCTGGTGGGTTACACCACAGTTCTGGGTGCGGTGGCCCCCATGGTTACTCAGGGCTACGGCTTCTTCTACCGAATCAGAGATGACAGGTGAGGGAGAGAACACGAACAGAACTTTCAGTTCATTCTTAGATTTAATACAACATTGTCATGTTATGTTAGTTCATTAACCTCAGTTAACTTTAATTTGATCAAGTTTGTATTTAGTCCAGATTAATATGGTTGCTATATTTTTTTAATCTACACTTTTATTTCTCGCATAGGATTGTGATCTCGATCACATCATGGAACTCTTGCCGCGAGACGGACGCCGCCTCGCTGTTCAACAACTTCTCCAGCTCCCTGCATGAGATGCTCCACCTGGCCACCATGTCTCAGCTGTGAACCAAGCAGGAACAGGAATTTAAACAGTTACTTTTCCCTGCTCTTGTCTGTGCATCCAGACACACCGCTCAGCCTGGGTTTATATACAGACAGCTAGATCAGCACAAATCAATGCAAACATGCAGAAACTGCACCACTGGGTGATTACCTCAGTTTATTGTATATATAAACAGATTTTGTATTTTATTTTGATTATACTTTAAGTGTTTAGAGTACTGATTAGCCTCAAACAGTAGCAAAGCTTTCTATCAGAACTACTAGAATCAGTTTTGTGCATGAAAATAATCCTTTTTAGGCCTTAAATGAAATTAAATTCTGTATCTTTGCTTCATTTAATGGGCTCAGACTTAATTGGCTCTACATCTGCACACGTTTTGGCTATGGTGGAAGTTTGGTATAAAAACTTTATGGACAGACTGTTGTCTTCCTCACTGGTATAGAAGGGGAAATGTATTCCTCCTAATGGCTGTGGTATACATACTCATTCCATCAAATAAAAAATAGTTTTAGAGCTTATTTAAAATGTCTTTAATCTATGAATCGTCTGGTACTTTAACATGCAACATGTGTTATACATCTTGTTTGACTCGAGTAGCTGCATGAAGAACCTGTTTGTAGCATTACCAGAACCAAACATTAACTCGTCCACTGCACCTTTAATTTCTGCACGCTGAGGTTTTTACCTTTCTGTCCTGTTGAAGACAAACGAATGTCCCTTTCTTTTAAAAGGTAACTACTGTGAAATATTCCTGAGGCACTGATTGTTTGGACATTGTTCACTTCTCTTTTGGAAATGGAACAAGTTAGTGTAATGATGAATGTACTGTAGTACAGCGTAATCACCGACAAATAAACTTTAGATTTATACATTTGTGTTGGCGCTTTAATAAAAACAAAAGATGTGTTGGCGCTTTAATAAAAACAAAAGATTTGTTCTTTGAGTAGAAAACTTTAATAGGCACATTCTTTGAAAATAGTATAGAAACATTAATTTCTGCAGTTTTGCACATTTCATACAGAACATAGACTCTGATGGTTCCAGTGTTTAAAGAATACGTACTTAATGATCCCTTCAGAACAGATCAGTACTTTTTTCATGGTCCTCGACATAGAAATCCACAGAAACTACAAAAATAAATTTTTAAAAGACCCTTACAGTATATATTTATTTTAAATCCTATATATATTAAAACATTTTAATACTTAATTTTATTTTTTATTAGCTTATAATCACCTGAAAATTAAAATAGCTGTTTCATTACATTTCTATGGAGACGCAGAAGATCCAAGCACTGGCTTTAGAAACCTGATCGAGTGCAGGTGTGGGTTGTGAGATAAATACAAGTGAAATGTGAAGGTGCTAAACTAGAATCTAGTTGAATACTTTTTGTTGTTGTTCAAGATTCTTTCCAAGTGAAAGCAACCAGACATTAAGTGGCTGTGATGTTAGTGGCTGATATTTTCTTTGTGTTTTTTTTAATTACCTGTAGCAAAGGAAACTACAATATCCTTCATAAAAGCAATCAAGAGTCAGTCCTATTTTTTCTAGCTCTATCCTACAAATGGACAATGATCTGTGTAAATCTGAGGTCAGCATTGGGATCATGAGTGTGACCGCATGTTTAAAATTTAGCATTTTCTTCTTAAATCCTGAATATAACAAATACCCTGAAATACAAAACACTTGAGTTGCTTTAAGTTGAACATTTTTTTGAAAGTCTGGAGTTTAAGGGCTGCAGACTCAATAATTAGCCCATACATATCTTTTCTATAGCCCAACATGATGTTTTCTAAAGTCATCACGAACAGCTCATGAAATGAAAAAGGGGCTTTTGCTTTTAACAATATAACCCGCCCTCTTCGTTTTGTTTGACAAAAAGGATGAAAATGACAACCATGCCCAGGTAAACACCTCAACGGAAACATCCAGGATGTAAGAAAAAGCATCTTTGGAGGAAACCCGATTCTAAAGCTTTTTAAGCTGTGGTGCTAAACCCCCAAAATGTTTTAGAGACAAGCTGGCCAATTCACGTTTGACACAGCACATTCCTCCCCTCCACAGGTTAGGAGCCAAATCTGTCGCAGTGAGTCTTGACGGTGCCGGCCAATCAACAGAACAGTTGGACTTGATGAAGACTCAAGACGTGATTGGTTCTTTCAGTCCAGCTGCTCCACTGACAGCATGAAAGCAGGGAGCTGAAGATACAAGGCAAAATGTTTAACCTAGTCCTCCTCAACGATGAGTATCAGGTGAGGTGTCCCGTGTCCTCATTCTGTCCTGTAACCCAGCTGTGTGGTGACCAGCATGTGGTAGACTCCCTTCTTTGCCAGCAGCTGTTGGTGCGTTCCTTGCTCCACCACCACTCCTCCCTGGAAGACTGCGATGCGGTCGGCGTTTCGAATGGTGGAGAGACGATGGGCCACGACTATGCACGTCCTGCCCTTGCTGGCCTGGTCCAGGGCGTCCTGCACCACCTGCAGATGAAAACAGTGCATGGACTGGTTGTCACTAACCCGTCATCCTTTGAATACGTTTACAAGGTAGCACTGTGCTGGTCCAACTAAAACAAGAAATAAAATGTTTGCTTTATTTTAAAACCTAGTAGTTTCCAGAGTTTAAGCACCCATTCCACAACTATTGTTGACATCTGAGCAAATACAACACCTACAAATAAACCAAGTAATTACTTTTAATACGTTTTAGTGGTTTTTATTTTTTTTTCATTCAGAAACGGACATTTTCTGAATAGCGTTTCTTGTGCAGGTTATTCAGTTTTAAAATTTTACAAGCGTTAAAGGGAAAGTTCAGAACTTTTGGAGGGAGGTTCTGCGTAATAATAATTTTTAAAAAAAAGTTACTTCCCCACAGATTGGGATTAGGAAGCTATGGTCCAAGTGAGGCAAACACTAAAGTTGATTGCTGCAGTCATAAAAACTCCAATCCCAACTTTTCATTGTGGATCATGCAACTACTACTCAGTTAAATCTTTACACCACTATCAGCTCTGCATTACACTATTTTTTATTGACGTCTATGGTTACAGCAAGAGTAGTGGCAGCAGCAGCCAACTGTAGCACTTTGAGCAGGAATATAACATTTTTTGTCAAACAGTCGGACAATGCAAAACGGATAGTGATGTAAAGGTCTAAGAAAAACGTTGTAATCTCATGAAACCCTAATATTTGATGCTGGAGCCGTTATCGGTTGGCACCAAACCCCTTTGGTCTTGGCCTCACTCGAAGCAGCTGTTAGCTCATCAATCAAGTCAGGATTAACCAATTCTCCAAACTGGAGGTTGTTCAAAAACTACAACAGGTAAGACAATAACCGTTAACCATTCTGTTGAACCCCACTTCAAAAGATTCAACATTGAAATATTGTAGTCAATATAGGATTATAATCCGACACATTTAGTCAAATCTTAGAATAACTTGTGAAGATCTTGAACTAAACTACTAAAAGAACACAATCTTATTTATTCTTCATCATAACAGATACAGAATTCAAAGTGTAAAGCCTTTTAACACATTTTAACAGCAAAATTTTCAAAATTAAGAAATACTATTGTTGTACCATCTTCTTAACTGACCTTTGTAGAGCCAGCGTCGTTGTCAGGGAACTGTTGGATTTTGTTGAATAAGCTTTATTTTTTAGAAAAGGGGGAAACGAACCTTTTCGCTCTCCGTGTCCAGCGCAGAGGTCGCCTCATCCAGGAGCAGCACTTGGGGGTTGCGAAGGATGGCTCGGGCTATGGCTATTCGCTGCTTCTGACCACCTGACAGCTGAGTCCCCTTGTCGCCCGCCTGAGTGTCGTACTTCTGCTCAAACAAACGCAAACAGAGACAACAGGCTCATAAAGATGTTACCACAGAAGGACAAATTAATGACAGAAGCTTCCAGGAATCTAATCTCGTTCAGACAAGGAAATCAAATTTGTGGTCGTGTATTTGCCCATTTTCCCAGAACGTTTCCAGTTAGCGATGTGTGTATTTTGTAATAATTATAATGGACAGTTTGGACTAAACCTTTAGAGAAGAAACATTTAAGTTGGTTGGTGTATGAACAGAAATAAAAACAAGTCCGTTTGAATACTTGTTCATGGCACTGAACAACCAAATTTTATATTTTAATTAAAAAATAATAATTAAATGGATTAAGTTGTATGCAACTTAAAAGAAACACATTTTTTCTTTACTGTTACAGTAATATCCTGAACATTTTAAAGATTTATTAAACTAAGTAGCATGGAGCAGATTCTTTTATTTTGTTGTGGCATCAAGAAAAGAAAACAGTATATACGCATAATTGTCAGTTGTGACGTTTTTAGATCAAGAAAACATGGAATCACAAGAAAAACACCGCATTGGTACTTTTGTTGCTCCACCACTGGCTTTTCTAGCAGCATGAATTCTCTGAGGCCTGGACTGAACCAATGACAGACTTCACCAATTTAACTCAGATTGTCTCTTTTTACTGTTCCCAGATCAGTTTTGCAGGGTCTGGCCTGACTTTCAACTGGACTGAGATCCGGACTGTTTGCAGGTCATGCTGTCATAAGTTTTCATGAAGTAAAAGTTTTTTTTTTTTTTATGTCCTTCGCCCTGTGGTAAGATGCATGATCATCATGAAAAATAAAGTCAGCAAACTGCATGTCAACTGATGGAATAAGAAAAGTGTCCAAAATTACAGTATAAACTGACATTTATTGAAGATGTAAAAACTGCCGTCTCCCCCCAGTTTCTATCTGACATGATCCTGACATGGTCCATGAGTATTTTCCTTTATCTCATGGTCAGCTTGTTCTTTTCTGTTTGGGTCTTAATGACAGCTTTTGTTTCACTTTTCTGTATAAAAATCCCATTTCTTACAGTCCAGTCACAGACACTGACTCCAGTTTTTGCCCACTTGCTTCCCATTTGTTGCATTTTCCATTTTAAGACACTCTTCAAGTTTTCCATCTTGCCCTTTTCATGTCTACCTCAGTCGACCAGAATTCTTCCCTTTCACAACCTTCCTTTTTGTTTGGACTTGGTCCAGATTTTAGACACAGCTGAAAGGGAACAACCAGCATCTTTGCAACATTCTGTGATAGTTCATCTTCTTAAAGTTTCATAAGCCTCTCCTTTGTTTCACCAGTCATCTCATGTGTGAAAACCATGATTCACATCAATCTGCTTTGTGCAACGGTATGAGCTAGTGTTGTGTTCAAGACCACCTAACCCAAGACCAAGTCAAGACCAAGACCAGAGTGTACCCAGACCAAGACAAGACCAAGACTTTTAGGGTCTGAGACCAAGACCTCAAATAAAATAAGTAAAATATTTATTAAATGTTTTTTAATAAAAGTTACATACTGCAACTTTAAGTTTGCTTTTGAATGAATACATCAGCTTTTATACATTTTCAAAGCTACATAAAGAAATCAGACATTTAGTGGCTTAACTGCATGTGATTCAACAATAAAATAACCGTTTAATTGGAAGCAGTTTCATCACATGGCAAGCCTTAAAAAACTGAAGTGGCAAAATACTTTTTATAAATCTGAAGTTAAGACCAAGGATAACCATATAGTTGCAAAGTGGTTTCAATAAAGTAGTAGTTAAACACCTAAAAAAAAAGTTATATAAATGGGTATTCATTACAAGTATATTCTTTGTGATTTAAATAGTGAATTTTTATAACTGATGAGACAGTGTTGCCAGATAGAGTCAAAGTTTTCCAGCCCAAAAATCTGTTAAAAACCGCCACATCACACAAAAATCAGCCCAATCAATATATTGTTACAGTATATTTACTGTTTGAACATGAACACACATCAATACAAGCCAAGGGCATTTAATAATATGTGGCAAAATGCAACAATCCATCCAGCCATCCATCCATTATCTTTTAACCGCTTCTTCCATTTTGGGTCATGGGGGTTGCCGATGCCCATGTCCAGCAATCACTTTGCGAGGGGCGGGGTACACCCTGGAAAGCTCGCAAATCCCAAAATGCAACAATCCAACAAAAATCTTCCCACAGTTCCCAGCAAAATCAGAATGAAAACTGCCCAATCTGGCAACATTGGGAGTGATGCGTGTGCGTGAAAGAGAGTGGGCATGACAGCGGTAACAAAATTTTTTATTTAGCAACGAGTCACATTAACGATTGGATTTGAATCCGTACGTTTTGCATCCAATAATAACAAAGATGTTAAGTAAACTAGACAATATTCTGGCAATTTAGTGATATTTCCACAGTTGTGGTCTTGAAATAAAATTCCGAGTCCTCAATGTCCGAGACAAGACCGAGACCAAAGGCAGTCGAGTCAGAGACAAGACCGAGACCATCAAAAAATGGTCTTGAGACGGGTCTCGAGACCAAGACAGGTCTCGAGTACTACAACACTCTAATTAAATCAACAGATTTAATCTGATGCAGGAGTTTGTCGTAGAACTGTAGATTACAAAGCGATTCGATGCCATAATTTCTCCTCTACTCAAAACATTATAAATAATAAAAGCAACTGTGACCAACTACAACTATCAATTTCTTTTTTATCGTTTAATGTCAGCGCGTTGGCGTTTTGAAACATGGTTTCTTAATTTTTGTCAAGTATTTTACATGTTATCCTGTTGGACCTTTAATACCGGAGTTTTAGAAGTTTGAGAATTGAGTTGTAGCCTTTGTCTGAATCGAGTTGTATAAGGTTACCTGTGGTAGTTGATCAATGAAGCTGTGAATGTTTGCTGCTTTAGCGGCCGCCTGGATCTCCTCCATGGTCACGGTGCGGGTGTTGTCTCCGTAGGCGATGTTTTCAGCCAGAGTGCAGTCGAACAGCACCGGCTCCTGGGACACGATGCCTATCTGAGACCTCAGCCAGTGGATGTTGAGCTGTTTGACGTCCACACCGTCCATCAGCTGAAGGAAGAGGATCAGAGACGAGCAGAGGCTCTTATAGCTCACTTTCAGTTGGAGCTCAAATCGTACTTATACTACTAATAATAGTAATATTATTCGTCAAATTGGTATTTAAATCATTTTTGATGGTTTAAGGTTTCTAAACCATCAGGCAACAGACGGGCTGCAGATTTTAATAAGCATTTAACGACCATGCCTTTTTCATGGTCCAAGTTATTCATAATGTTATCATTTCTCCTCATTACCAATACATAATATAGGCCAAATTTGAAAAAATAAATAAAATGTTATTTGGTTTCTAATTTTTACAAAAGGTGTTTTAAGTCTTGGATCATTAATTGACTAATATGTTTTTTAGCTGATCAGACAGGAGAGATGTTCCAATTTAAAAATACATTTACTATAAATTGAGTTTATTATTGCTTCATGCTTTGATACATTTTTTTTTATATATGATGATTGTGATGCATTTTATATATTTTTTAACTCAATGTAAGCATCTTTGAGTGTTTAGAAAAGTACTATACAAATTAAATTATTGCATAACGTACAGAAACAAAAGTACATTTATTCTTATTTCTGCTTTGCTGTAACGTGGTTTAGACTCAGATTTTCGATTTATTTAAAAAACTGATTGTTATACACAAAAAAAGGTGTTTAAATAATGATTTTAGAGAACCAGACCAATTAGATTACTCTAAAGTAAAATGAATGCATCTTTTTAGCTTTGGATATGACAAACTAAAAGTGATTCAATACTTTAGCAACATTTTATCACTTATCCTTTGTAGTAAATAGTAGTTTCTAGTAATTAATTAGTGCTGTAAATTAAAGTACCAAAACAATGACATTTTTTAAATTAGAATTTATTGAACATTAAGTGTATACCTGAAGGCTTTAAAATAAGAACTTGTGATAACACCAGGATAAGATAGTTTATGTTCTTCAGCTCTGACTCTACTGAATAAAAGGATTTGACAGACGTTTTAGATCAAAGTACATCTGTACAATGACCTCGTAACACCTCTGTCCTATCAGTATGGCTGCCATAAACACAACCGCCCGTTAAGGCGGGCAGTAATTCAGGCAGCTGACAACACCGAGTGTAGGCGTGCATTTGTGTCCTCACCACTCTGCCTTCTCTGGGGTCGTAGAACCGCTCCAGCAGCTGGATGGTGGTGCTCTTCCCACAGCCGCTGCTCCCCACCAGGGCCAGAGTTTCCCCCTTCTTCACCTTCAGTTTCAAGCCTTGTAGGATGGGCACGTCGGGGCGTGAAGGGTAGTTGAACTTCACATCCTCGAAGCTCACGTTACCGTCAAATTTGTCCTTCAGGTCAAATAGCGGCGATTCATTACAAGTTACTTTTGAAGGACTGTTTAGTAGATTTTGTGATATTTACCGGCAACTCTCCCTCCTGGGACAAATTGTCAATAGCAGGCTCTTTATTCAACAACATAATGAGGTGGGAAGCAGACAGTTTGGCCTTGGCGTAGTTTGGAGCGAAGGAGTTTGCCTCTCCGAGAGCCATGGCACCAAACAGAACAGCTGAAATCACACTGGGAGAGGAAGTGAAAGTCACTTTTGCTTCATCTGTCGCCACCAAGAGTCACTGAGGCGTCGAACTTCATTATTGAACTACAGTATGTGATGATGCCTTTGTAGAATATATGTTGTAAAATATTTGTCATTTAACAAGACAGGCTGTAAATAAAGGCCACAATATAGTGCAAAAATATGTAAACTGAAGAAAAATCATAAAAAAATAGGCAAGGTAAAAAAAAAAAATAAAAAAGGTAAGACGACCATTATGGAAAAGTTGGAAGCTGTTTAAAAGCTATTTATTTTTTAGGTTATTGTTTAGAGTGGCAGGGCAAAGTTTGACAGGCAGTAATAAAGTGAACGCTGGACCACTAAAAGGGGACATGTGCTTTAAACAAGCCCACCCATTCCTGTCCCAAAATTAGATTAAAAGACATGCAGCTCGTACGGTCTCTTACGCTCAAGTACAGCATGCAATTTCAATAATTTACACTGAAATTTAACAGTAACCCACAGAACTGACTTTCTATAAAATATCATGTTATAAAACCACACACAACTTTAATATTGAAAACTATAAATGTAAACTTAAATGTGGCTTTTGTTCAAAAACAGTTTGCGGAGTTAATGTGCAGGCAGGAAAACTAGTTGTAAAATGAGATGCTGTCCTTTAACTGAGGAAAGATGCTACGTCTACCACACACCATTCATTAAAAAACAAAAACAAACAAAAAAAAACCTGCCATTTGGGTAGTTTTTATTTTTCCACAGACCCATTCAGATCAGTTATTTTATCACGAGTGGCATCAAGTTTATCCATCCATCCATCCATCCATCCATCCATCCATCCATCCATCCATCGCCACTTCTTCCTTTTCAGGTCACAGGGGTCACTGGTGCCCATATCCAGCAATCACTGTGCAAGAGACATCCTGGACAGGTCTCCAGTCCACCACAGAGACAAACAACCTTTCACTCTCACTCACACCTAGAGACAATTTAGTTACCAATCAACCTAACATGCATGTTTTTGGTCTGTGGGAGGAAACTGGAGTACCGGGAGAAAACTCACGCACGCACAAAGAGAACATGCAAATTCCACCCAAGAAGGTCCAGGACCAGGATTTGATCCGGTGACCTTCTCGCCGAGAGGCAACAGCTCTACCAACTGAGCCACCGTGCTGCCCTGCATCAAGTTTAGAGTTTATTAAAAATAGAAACTGCACTTTTAATTATTTTTTTCTGCCATCTGATGTGAACATGTTACTAATAATTAGTTGGGACAGTTTATATATTTTTATCCCAGAACAATAAAGTTGGTTGTCAAAATAAATTTTATAATCGCAGAAAGAAGCTAGCATGCGTGCTCAAATATTGTATAAACACTTTATTCTGAGAACTCAGGAGGAGGAACAATGTTTAAAAATATAGTACATGTGAAGTCGGGATACACCTCTTTGCTTTAAATAAAAACGAAAAGTTTTCTAAAAATTATTTTCTAATAAAAATAAAAATAAAGAATTTCTACCGGTAATGTTTTTACAAAAACACTTCTATGCATCTTCAAAAACATTTTCTGGAAGGCTGCCTTACAGCCTGGGCTTCTAGAATTGCCTTTGTTTAAATAAAATGCTACGTGGAGGAGATGAGTTAATGTTTAGACATTTATTTGCTGCTTTACAGTGCAACGAACTTTGGACTTGGATAACAGGTGGAATAAAAATGAAGGGCAAATATCTTTCCACCAATAAATGGCTGAATTACTGTATGAACCTGACACACGCATGTGCGTCCAATGAATCTACACGTGAAAAGGTCTAATGATTACCACCCATAAAAAATACACTATCCTGCCCTCTTGGCTGGGATGTTCTGTTCAAAATGTATCTGCCTCACCCGCAAACTGTGAAGCATCTTAATCATAAAACAAAACCTCAGACACCTAAAACATCCGATTAAGGGATTACTTACAGGAACACTGACTCAACATCCATCCTCCCTGCAATAATGAGCCAAGCTCCGAAGCGGAAACACGCTGCGTAGGCAAAGTAGATCATGGCCTGAGAGAAGGAGAAGGTAAACCCGTGCACGTGGGCCTTTTTCTGAGAGTTCCTGTACAGAAATAAGTTTAACGTCATAAGGAGTAATCAAATTATTCACATTTGATTGTTTAATTATATATACATACTTATATGGAACTACGAGGTTCTCTTGATACAAAGACTCAAATTTTGGTTCTCTATTGAGAGAAACAACTGTTCTGATGTTCTCGATGGCCTCTGTGGCGATCTGGAGACACAATTCAAAACATTATATCGATCACTAAAGTCTATCCTTGTTCCCAGAGTCTGCATCCGTACCTTTCCAGCCTTTTCCAGTTCCTTTTTGTCTTCAGCTGCGTGTCCAGTGAGCATTTTCATCTGCACAGCTCCAGCCAGCGCAATGACGGGCACCACGGCCAGGATAAGGAGGGTCAGCTCCCAGCCGTACACCAGAGCCAGGATCACGCCGGTGCCGAGGTTGGCAATGTTCTGGGCGAACGTCGCCAAACGCACTCCTGAGGCCTGAACAGGTGGTAAACATCAAAACAAAGGAGACAATGAGATGAGAGATTTAAACAGACGGGTCACTGTGATAGGCTTTGATTAAAATAAATAAAATAGAACAAAAAAAAAAGTTTGTTGCTTCTGAGACTCACTCCTTGTACTTGGGCTGCGTCTGTAGCCAGTCTTGTAGTGAGAGCTCCAACACTGTTTTTATGGTTGTCAAACCATCCAAGATCCTACAAAAAGAAAAAAATATATAAACTATTGTTTACCAAAGATAAATACAATAAACTCAAAACATAAGTCATCCTTACATATTTATATTTTTAATTTCCTGCAAAAATGCAGTGTGAATGCTTATTGCTGAATGATTTTGCTGAAAAAGCCGAAATCAAGCTGTAATTTTTTTTTAATCGCTGAACTCCATAACTACTTTTTATATATAAAATATAACATGATCAGTTGAAAATGTAGCCAAATAGTTTAATACTTTGTAGAAACACTAGCAAATTTGCAGATTTAGAAGAGAAATGCTAGCAAAAAAGCAAGAAGCCGCCAACAGAGGCACTAGTAGATGAATTTGGCAGAAAGAAGTTGAAATAGGCACAAAAAAGGCGAATTAGAAACCTCATGGCCTTAAAACAAAAATCAATAGGGATCTTTGTTGATCCACATGGTGTCCAGCTGGGAAGTTTAAAATTTCTCTGTTTATCACTTGTCAAATTAGAGCTATTTAAAGGGGTGACATTGATTTATGACCTTGACCTTTGACTACATGACCCTAAAATTGATAAATATTGTTGACCAACAAGGTGTCCAGCTGAGAAGTTTGACATTCCTACTTTTACAAGTTGCAGAGTTGGAGCTCGGACAAAAAAAAAAAAAAAAAAAACTGTCCAAGGACAGCTAAGACAACGATTGTTATCTTTGCCCACACCAAGTTCTAGCCTAAGTTATTTAAAAGTAAATGAGTTTGAAGCTGAAAGAATCATAATAGAGCCAAAAAAACAAAACTGATAGTGGAAAAGTAGATAAGAAAAACTGAATCAAAAAGCTCAAATTAGCAGAAAGAAGCTAAAAGGAGCTAAATGCAACTAAAACGCACACAGAAGCTGAAAAACTGAACAAATGCTGGAATGAGCAGACAGAGGCTTAAATGGCACATTTGCTGAACCAAACAGAAATAAGTCAAAATAATCACAAGTTTAAATTAGCAGAAAAAAACAGAGAAAAAACAAAAACAGCTGAATAGTAGCTTAAGGCCAGAAAAAAGCTGAATATAGAAGCTGAAGGTAAGAAAAAAAAGTTGAAATTAGCAGAAGCTGAAAAACAACAAATGCTGGAATGAGCAGAGAGTCTTACACTCCTGCTATACTACTGGTATTGATACATTTTAAAGTTTTTGAAATATTGAGCTTTTTCAGCAAAAAAAAATTCTCATTGAAAATACATTATGTTATTTGTGTTACTGTAATTGCTTTTAATAAATCACAAAACTGTTCAAATGCATCTCACTTAAATTATTGTGTGAATGCTGTTAAGCTAAAATGTTGCAAATAGGGCACAGAACTTTAGGTTTTTATTTTTTGATTTAGCAGCAGTCCAATTCTCTGTGAAAGTCAAGATATTTGGAGATAAATAAAATTTATACATAATGATAATGAAAGGCATTTATCTTCTACATTTGTGGATAGTAAGAAAAAGACCCCACTGCATTTATTTATGTGGAAAAATTACAGATTGCTTTTTAATGTTGACATAAACATAAAAAAATCAAAATTTAAAAAAACACTTCCACAAAATAACTTAAATTTTTTTAATTAATTGACACTTTTGTACAAACCTGTTTCATCATTGATTTAAAAGCTCCAAGTCTCAGTTTCAAGGTGAGAACTTCTCCAGATTTACCGAAACAGAATCCCTGTTGGAAGACAAAATACATTCTCAAACAGATACAAACGCAGGCGACACCTCCGCCTCACGACTCGACACAACTCTTTAATCAATTTTTAAATGAAGGAAGCTCACGCATGCAATATAACACCACAACGCTGTGTAATGTAAACCGTGTAAGATAAAACTGCCTGGCACCAAGATCTACAGCGAGAGGGTTGTGATGAGAAACGAGTAGGCTTTCGAGGAGTTTTGTGGGATTTATTTACAGTGGATGCAGAGCAGCTTGCACGTTACTGATGTTCAGGCAGGAAACCTTATCACGCCTACCTGTAGAAACATGGTGACAAAGCACACGACTCCAATGGTGACGAACATGAGGGAAAAGAAATTAGATCGTTCTCTGATCATATCATCTGGCAAAGCAAACACCTGGGAGAAAATAAAAACAGGCATTTTCAGATGATTATTATTATTTTTTACAACTGGTACGATGAACATAAAAGAAAAATATAGCCAAGTAACTTGTGGCCCCCACAGTGACCTACAGTGATGATCTTGGAGAAGAGGACTGCGAACAGAGGCTGTATGCCTCCGTTTATGATGGCACATATCAACCCCACTAGAATGTACAGCCACTCCGAACTGTTGAGACGCAACACTTGAAAGAACGACACCATGGGAACATTTTCATCCTGCAAAGAGAAAACCATGAGCTTCATTTGGACAAAGGATTGAGGACAAAAGTTTAAAATCTTTAAAGTGGGCAAATATAAAAATACATAATTGTACAGTAGTCTCACTACTTTGCAGTTCCATTTTTGCGGACTTGCTTTTTCGCAGGTTTTCAGTGATTGTCAACTTTAATATTACGTGATTTGGGACGGTGTGGGATAAAAAGGTTTTAAAAATGCTTCGAACAGGCGCTGCCATTTTGTACTTTTATTTCAATAAGCCTATACTGCAACGCCAGTCAAAGAACTACACTACCCAGAAGCCAACAGTGCTTCCGGCCACTGCTTTCTGCTAAAATGGAGGGAAAGTTTTGATCCGATCTGAACCGGACTACAAAGTTTGGTCCTTATTCATAGTGACTTTGGCGCTCAGTGGATACAGAGAGCCATTCGGAACCGGGACAGAACTGGACCAAGACTACTTCCAGACTCAGCGTTTAGCCTGAATTCTGCTCGCCGGCGCAGGAATCCTCTCAAAAGTATCTTGGTGCTCAACAGCTGCAGAGAGCCGATCAGAACCGAACCAAGGCTGGCGAGTACTCATAAAAATTTTGCAGTAGCTACTGTACAGTACATTACGTATGTCGTTAAAAATATGCAAGTTTAAGAGTTTAGAACATTGCAAAAATGTGGAAAGGATTTATAAAGCCTTAAAAATATACTACTAAAATAAATACAGCGTTCCTTCTTCGCGGTTTTTCATCAATCGCGTGGGTGTGTGGAACGCAACTCCTGCAATAATCGAGGGACTACTGTAGCTTTACTTTTTACCAAATATATCTAGATCAATAACTGGTATCAGAATACTGTTAGCCTTGTATTATAAAGACTAAACTGGAAAATATGATATTTATTTCACCTCTTCCGTTTTGTCCTCGTCATTGTTTGACACTTCCTTCTCCTTCTCTCCAGTTGAGGCGGTGAAGGACGAGCCTCTTGTTGATTGCCTCTTGTACAGCGAAGACTTAGAAATAATGTTGGACGTGGGACTTTTCTCCTCCATAGACAGCTCATTCTCCTCCTCCCCTTCCTCCACCTTCTGAAAGGTCTGCAGCAAACAAGAGAGGAGCCACCGTTCTGAAGGAACCAAGCGGCAACTAAAAGATCCGATCAAGCTAACCGGTGGTTTACCTGCATGGTGACCAGTGTGTGGTAGACTCCTTGTTTTTCCATCAGCTCGCTGTGAGTCCCCAACTCTACAATTTTACCCTTCTGGAAGCCTGCAATGACGTCCGCGTTTCTGATGGTCGAGAGGCGGTGGGCCACGATCAGGGTGGTGCGGCCTTGTTGGACCTGAGGGAAAAATATACAGTCTATCAGTCAATTAAAAACAAAACTATAAACCTGCAGATGTACAGATCTTCCAGTTCAGCACGGTTGTAAATAAACACATTCAACTGTTTTTAATGAACAATTTCAACTTTTAGCCGGTTCAATCCATAAATAAAAAAATTAAAAAAAAAAAGTTCAACTATGAACGTTAATGGTTCTGTTTTGATCTGCCTGAACTAAATCTTGTGAAGTAGGAGAGACTAAAAAGAAAAAACGTTCTGAAATTCAACAAGCTAAGCTGGAGGAACATCAATGTGCGCACAAAATTTCATTTGCAAGGAAATAAAGGTATTTCAGGTTGAAAAGTGTCAAAACTAATTCAATGTTTCTATTTTAAGTCAACCTACAAACTTCACCAACAAGAATAAAAACTAAAGAGTTTATTGTGTCTAAATTTTAAATGAATATTCAACTCTGTACCTTATCGAGCGCAGCTTGGACAATGGTCTCGCTCTCGGCATCGAGTGCAGACGTGGCTTCGTCCAACAAAAGGATTTTAGGGTTGCGGACTAAAGCTCGGGCAATCGCGATCCTCTGCTTCTGTCCTCCGCTCATCTGAGTTCCTCGGTCACCAACTAGTGTTTCAAACTTCTGCTCAACAAGAGCAGCCTCCATTAGCAAAATATGGATACGATATTCATAAGCATGGATATGGTGGCAATAATGCTACCGTACATCTGGAAGGTTCATAATGAAGTCATAAGCATTGGCTTCCTTGGTCGCTTGTTCAATCTCAGCCTGCGTGACGTTAGGCCGGCCGTATCTGATGTTCTCGGCGATGGTGGTGGCGAAGAGGATCGGCTCCTGGCTCACGACTCCAATCATTTCTCTCAGGTATCGGACGTTAAGACTGCGGATGTCGTGGCCATCAATACACACCTACCAACAGACGCAGCTCGGTTAATCTTCACTACCTGTGCTTTTGCTCACTGGAACAGAATTTACCACAATTTGGTTGTTTGAGGGGATTTTTAACAATTCGTTATATGAATGGAAATAAGTCCAACTGTTTCTTGTTTTTTTAATTTGGACAATTTATAAGTAATGAATGAAGTAAAAACATCTCTTACTGATCCTTCTTGGGGGTCGTAGAATCTTTGCAGCAGCTGGATCGTGGTGCTTTTACCACAACCACTGCTGCCAACTAACGCCATGGTCTGTCCGCTCGTCACACTTAAACTCATGTCATCTAATATCTACAAATGACAAGGATTTTAGTTACAAGACAACTAAAAGTACCTTTGTCGTTGTCAGAACTTTTGCTTCAGAGAGTTTGGTTGGGATCGTACTGTGACGTCAGGCCTTGAGGGGTAGGTGAAGTGGATGTTTTGGAACGCTATGTTCCCTTGGATGGAGTCGGGTTTGAAGCCGGACTCTGAATAGCTGTCGATGCTCGGGTTCTGCGGAGAAAACAAGTCCGTTCTGGTTTGTAGTTACGCCAAAATGAGATCAAGCATGCAGTTCTTATAAAAACCTCCTACAGACAATGGGAGGAAGGCTGCTCGCTTTCCAGGATAGGGTGAGTGAGTTTAACGGGACTGATGTTTATTTCTAGAGTTCTTTGTGTTTTCATGGCTTCTCTTGATGCTCAAACTACACACACACACACACATACACACACACACACACACACACACACACACACACACACACACACACA